TACGTACTCGTGCCAGCTCTTTTATTGGCCTCTGTGCTGTTAAGTCTGCACGTAAATAGACACGAATTGAATTGAAATTATTTTAATTCTTTCTCCCTTCAGTGTCTCTTTGGATTGTTCTTGAAATCAGCTTCTCAAATACTTTGCTAGTAGTGGACAAGAGGCTGATCGGACATAAATTTTGGGGAAATTCTGGGTCCATGCCGGGCTTCGGCAAGACATTTTCCTTTCTTCCAAAATGCCAGGAAGTGACAAAGACCAAAGCAGAGATTAAATAAATGTGTAAAATGAACAGGAAGTCTTCTTGGTAGATGCTGGAGACATTCATTTGCCAGTCCTAATTTAAAAGATCTTATTTCTTTTGGACGTCACAAGATCGTATATCAACAGGGATGTCGTCATCGTCGGTAGCCAGCAGGGCTTCAACTTTAGCCTCCGCCATGTCGTGCATGGCCATAGTAACACACGTCATGCACTGTGAACTAGTAAGCAGCCTGCAGTTGTGTTGGCTTTATCGAGATTGGAAAAAAATATAGGGCCTAGGGGACCATGAATTGCCGATGGTGTCTTTGTTCCACTCGTTTCTGTGAAGATTTTTGCAACAGGTTATAATTGCTTGAGGTATGACTTTGCAGTTTGCCAACTTTGTTTCCCGTCCTTAGGTGCTCTTTCCTGAACCATTCTCCTGAGATTTCGAGTGGCCCAGTTTGCTGTCGTTTTGCATGCTGGAGTTCTGCTTTCTTCCTACAATTTTCTGAGTTCTTTTTTATGCTTCAATAAATTATCTAACCCGTGTATCCTTTATTTCATGTTTAAAATTGTAGTTTTCTAGTAGATAGCTTGTATGCCGAAGCTGTAGACACTGCAAAGTTACTTGCTGTGTTATCAGCTTCATTAGAAGAGTGAATTAGGATATTTGTAGATATGAGTTCAGAGGAAGGGCTTTGAAATATTTCCCAGTCTGTCGGTTTTTAGACTGGATCTAAAGCTTCCATCGTTCTAACAGGTTCTAGAATTCTCGACCTTACTTGTAGGTGATCTGAGTCCAGGATGTCAGTGATAGTCAAACGTTCTGATGTACCAAAAGGTCGAGAACATCATCAGGTGTGTAATACGTAGAGCAATTGGGATTTGAATTTCGAAGTTAGAACTAACGAATAATTCCAAGAGCTTCAAACCTGAGTGGCTCGGAATTTTACTATTCCAAGTAGAATGCTTTGCGTTCAGGTCTCCTGCCAGAATTTACTTATTTCTAAAACCTAATAGCTCTATGATATCTGTGTCACTTCACAGTCTTTGTGGAGATTCATAAACAGCTTCAAGCAATATTTTGGTGTTTCCAAACGGCATGCAGACCCCTGTTTCTTCTAGTAAATTATGCTTTCAGTAGGAAGTAGGAAGTAGATCTACGCATGTGTGAGAGATGTGTTTGTTAATTGCTGCGGCAGTTTCGACTTTGTGCCCGCTTTCACGTTCGGAGTCTCAGAGTTATATTACGACTGACGGTTTATCGCCAATTAGTTCGTCTTGGCGATAAGTCCCTTGAGACTCACGACCAATAATTCTTTTCAGCTGAACACTTGCTGTCATAGTCCTTATGTAACATCCTCCCTTACTAGAGGCTGGGTCTGTTGTTTACAGTTGCTGCTGGGCCTCGCCAGCGCAGTCATTCTCCGGTCCAAGTTCCACGGGATTCATGACCACATTTTACTGTCTCAGATTCGCTCATGAACAGGGTGAACCAATTATACCCCCAGGCACTGGGTTTCCTTTTAGTCACCTCCTACGACTCGCAGGGCTACGGTGGAGATATTAGACCCCACCTCCACAAGGGTATTCACGGTCAGTCCTCACCCATCGTCGCCATATAGCCTCGACACGGACTGCACAGGATACACCACAGCGTCATATGTTGTTTATCGATTGTTGCGTAAAAGCTGACCCTTGTTTAATAAATTCATAGCGTGTTTACTGTGCCGTAACCTAGCAACAGCTATGTCTTTCAGTTATTCTATCACAGTACTTTGCTTCTACTGCCTCTTCCTGTGAGAACATATTTCTTTCATGAAATAGAGTGCAGAAGGTCAGATTTTCTTTGTGCTGTACCATCATTCCATTAAGATGTACAAGGGGCCTGCAGCTGAAGCTACACGCCAATTCTTAATATCGGCACTCGATGGAGTGGAGTTGTCAGCATCGCGTTATGGCTGTTTAATCCCCGAGCATCTATACACCGATACTCGTTACGAGGAAGTAGGGTGAACTCCAAAGCCAGTCTGAGTGTCACGGTTACGGAAGAGATTTTTGCCGCCACCAGGAACTGATCACATGCAGTCCAAACGGCCGTCATTTCACTGACTGTAAGATATGATTTTTGAAGCTAAAACTTTATATAGCCGTCTACTTTGTTATGACACTGTGTTGTGTGGTAGGTCGTTGCAAACGTTTCGGAGGAACCTGATGCCTTCCCACACTGCACGGTGTTAGAACCCAGAAAATCCTATCTAAGTTTCGTTGAAGACTGTTTCCTTTCGGATTTTTATACGGTGTAATCTCGTACATATTTTACCAGTGACCTTGACTGCTTTGTTTTGAAGGCAGAGGCCGTAAATCCTTCTGAAAAGCTGGTAACAATCTACCAAAACACTCGGCGTCGTATCTCACAAGACAATAATCTTCACAATAATCTTCCATACTTCCGAGTAATAATACGAGGGTACGTCAATAAGTAGGTTACAAATGGATATAGAACTTAAATAATAATACTGATTTGAAAAATGCCTTTGTTTCTCAACATATTTTCCCTGCACATTGAGGCACTTGCCCCATCATTTCACAAGCCCCTGAAAACCAGCAGCATATAATTCTTTGGGCTGCTGTCGGAACCAGGCGGTGACTTCCCTTTCTACAGCTTATCGTCGGGAAAATGTTCAGCCAAAAGATGATGTTTAAGAGGGCCGAACAAATGGAAGTCTCTTGGAGCAAGGTCGGGGCTATACGGAGGATGCTCGAGGACTTCCCACTTGAAATTTCGCAGCGTCTCATTTGTCTTGTTGGCAGTATGGGGACGCGCGTTGTCATGCAAGAGCAACACGCCTTTGGTGAGGAGTCCTGGTCGCTTCCGTTGAAGGGCCTTATGAAGTTTCCTGAGGATGCCACAGTAGGAGCCGGCATTTGCAGTTTGTCCTTGAGGCTGGAATGCGGTGAGCAGTATGCCTTCGTGATCCCAGTCACCGCCTGGTTCCGACAGCCGCCCAAAGAATTTTATGCTGCTGGTTTTCAGGGGCTTGTGAAACAATGGGACAAGGCCCTCAATGTACAGGGAGATTATGTTGAGAAATAAGAGCATTTTTCAAATCAGCCCTCTTATTTGTTTAAGTTCTATATCCATTTGTAACTTACTTATTGTCTTACCTACATATTTTATGTACAAAATGTTAGAATTTTTGTATATACTTTATTAATAAAGTACTCACTACACTATTCGTAGGTGGGCCGGTTGGCTTAGAACATCGCAAAGCCTGGCGTCTATCTCATCCAGCGTGTTCCCGTGCGTTCTCCGTCACAGACAATAGTAGAAAGTCTGAGTCACGGGACCTGTGCCAAAGGTATGTGTCATAAATTACATTTTGTTATAGAAAGTAACAAACTTTCCAAAAAAATAGCATAAAATAATATTTGTGATTACTTACATATGCAGATTATATAGACAACATAGGAAAATCGCAACCCTCAATTAAGGGAGTCTTCCTCACACTAGATAGTGTAACAAGAAGAATGGAACTAAGAATATGGGAGCCTCGACGTCTCATTACCCCATGGGACTCCAAGGCCTGTCACAGGGACAGTTTACCTCTACCTTACCTTTATAGACATATATATATAGGGTTCTCTATCAGTTGTAATAAGGGTACTAGTCAGGAAATTAAGACAAGAACTTCAATAGCTAAAAAATGTTTTTTTTATGGATTACAGAACCAATTAGAATCACATGTACTTTAATAGAAAAACAAAAAGATATCATGCACAACATTCGTCAGGCCAGCTATTATCCACATCTGATGCAAAGGCTCTTGGGGTCTTTGAGAAGAAACTTCTGAAGTCCACGTATGGCTCAGTCACAGATAACAGTGAACGGAGAATTAAGCACAAGTACGAATTGTATGCTTTGTATCAGGATACGTATGTCACAACTTTTATAAAAATGGGCAGGTCAAAATGGGCTGGTCATGTTATTCGAATGGACCACTAACGTCCGGCGAAAAGATCTATTAATGTCAAACCAGAAGGCAGAAGAAAAAAAGGAAGTCCTAAACTGAGATGGGAAGACGGAGTAGAAAATAATATTAAAGCTTTCGGGAAAGAAACTGGAAAAACATAGCCATGAATAGAAAACAACTGCAGAATCCTCTAAGGAAATCTATGGCCCTAAAAGAGCTGTACCAAATAAAAATTATGAGGCGTACCACCTTCTGGTATGCGACGCCGTGTCATTTTGCAGAAGTTTGACAACATTCCGGACAAAGGATCTGCCTCCATTTTCGAGGTGAAGGATAAGTGAAGCAAGGAGGAAGCAACTTGTGCTTCCTGAAGAAAGTATAGGCTAAATCCCAGGGTTTCGAGAAGAGTATTTGGATCAAAAAGAGGAAGTAACAGGGGGATGGAAAAACTAGCATCATGACTTTCAAAAATTTGCACTCTTCCCAATTTATTATTAGGGTGACCGAACACAAGAAGTTGAGATAGAAAGGGGGAAGTAGGATGGGATGTTAATATTAAGATGTCAAGAGCGTTAAATTACTTACCGATATGTCGGAAGGGATGTTCACACCAGTGAAAGGTGCTCTTCACGGGAGACAGGTAACTGTCCCGCAGATGTGACGGCTTAGCCTTCAGCTGCTTCATGTGGGGTCGCAATGAAGCATATCCCCACCACCAGGGCTCACGAGAGATCGTAGAAAGAGGAGTTTCTTTTAGCGGCTGAAGAAAGTCCGACAAGGGACGCCGCACGCCGGGGGAGTAAACAGGAATGCCTGCAGCAAGCGTAATGGCTGAAACTTCATAATAAGTCTGTATGACTAGGCAAATGGTCTTTTGAAATCAAAGGAGCATGAAATATTAATGTTTGCTTTATATTCATTCATACTCTTGTATAATTCTATCCAAAGTCTCGCCTTATTCTAAAAAGTAGAATACAACTCAAACAGGTGAAGTATGAGTGGCAAGAGTAAAGTTTACAGGCGGTTTCCCACAGAGCGGTGGCTTAACTCGTGATAGTCCGGAATAATTTACAATTGCGTCATTAATTGACCCATTAACATAATAACTGGTTGTGCCTTTTCGAAATATCTACACAAAACTAATCAAATTGATAAGTATTAAAGATACAAAATGATAACCGAACTTCCTTACGGTATATCACATCTATTCCATTTAACGAAGTAATTAAAAAGGTAAATTTGTTCTTGTGCTTCACAAATGAAGTACTACGCCATGAAAAAAAATATGGGAATGTGTAGATCCACGTATTCTTGACCTTGGCACTGTTTGGAGATGAATTATCAGCTTCACGCCCCTACCGCTTTACCCCCAAGGAAAGAGGCCACAGTACCCGTTTCATAAGAGGCTGGGAGGGCTTCAGAATATGTATGGATGATGTGGAGAGGAGAAAAATCTTGTTCCTATCGGGACTTGAGTTCCGACCCCTTGGCCGTCCAGCCCGTAGCCCATCGCTATGCCGAATGCGCTGTCCCGGCGCATTAAGCAAGTCATTACGACTTTCAGTTAGTGGGGTTTCACAGAAGTACAATTGGTTAATGTCATTCAAATAGACGAAAGGTCTTTAGTCGTAAAAACGTGCCAGTAGGTTAAGGGAGCGTGTGGAGATGGTCCAATTGCTTGTGCATACTAACGCTACGATACCTGATGCACGAGCCCAGAGGAAAATTCACCTTTTATGCACGGAATTTATTAAAATTTATTTTAAAATCGGGTAAGATACTTTATAGGAAAACCATAGCTACATCGAAGCCTTATATGATATATCATCATGAAATTTCCTGAAGGAAACGCATGAAGCTCTTGATTCCTCTTACATTTTGCCCATGTGTGAAGAAATCTGATGCTTCACTCTAAATTTCTCCAAAACCCACAAAATCTAAAACCTTACTACAATTTCCAAAGTGCTGAGTCTAGTTGCATGGGGTCCTTACCTTCTGCAGATCGGGTTAGTTCTCTCGATATTTTCACTTTGGTCCGGATGTTTGTTAAAATTTCTTCAGATTGGAACAGGCTGTTATCCAGACGTTTCAGATTGGATTCCAAAGACTTTCTGGCGTTCCTGAGTCTGAAGTCTAGACCTGGACGTAACAGAATAATAAACCATAAAGCACCGAGTATATGACTAGCGAAAATAAAGTTCTAAAATTGTATAATTAGTGCACAAAAGTAACTGTAAGAATAAATTACTTGCACAGTAATCAACATTATCCTTGGCCTTGATTTGTATTTGAAAAGACGTTTCGGAGAGTTCCTTTGTCTCCGTGTTCAGGTAAAAAGCCCTACCTGTCGGATACAACAGATAGACTTAGTCACTATCTCTGGACAAGAAAGGGACTAATTCTATCGATTGGGCCCAACAAAGTAGGTTTTTAACCAGAATTAAACAGACTGAAGTCACCGAAACGTAGATTAAAATAAAATTAGGCAGTTGATAATGTCCATATTATTTTATTTATATACGACCGCCACGAAATTTTATAACTTAAATTCCTCGTGCCAGTGAAGTATCCTGAAGAATACGCATAAGTTCAGAAAAAATGTCACTCGAGAAACTGTAACTGGTCTATTAAGGGTAGTCGGCGTAAATATAAGTTATATTTCAAAAGCATAATCAACAAATTCGGCATTTTATTATCACATGACGTGCACTCCTTTGTGTTGCTGATGTTAGTGGGTTTCACTAGAAAATAACAAGAATCAAATATGCTGTAATGTTATTACGTGATGTATACATGTTAAAGTAAGATAAAAGAGTCACATGGAACGAATCTCAGTCAATTTAGATAACAACAACTGAAAGTACTTACACGTTGACAAAAAATTGATAAACGCAATGAAATTCTACAAAAGAGATTCAAATAGATTTAAATACAGCCCTAATAAAATATTACTCCCCAGAATAAGTATTACATGCGAAAACCATACTTTGTATAGACGGGATAACTGTCCGTATTCTCTGTCTGTTAAGGCACGGTTTTGCTGGAGGTGTCGACAGCAGCGCTGGACAGTCGAAGTCCTCTTGAGTGCAAAACGTTAAAGCGTCCGGCAGAAGCCGCTGACAGCCAGCCGCCATAGAGAGGGGTTCCACTCACGGGATACAACTGCTTTCGGAGCAGCCTGGCCTCTGCAGTCAAGCTTCGTTGTTTAATAAAGGCTCTTACTTTTGCTCAATGTTGCGATGCCTCCGAAGTTTACAAGAATAAGAGATGGACATTTAATTGAAAGCGTTATCCATTAGCGTGCATTTCATGAGCATGAGAATAAGGACTTAAAAAATGTCCAAATAAAGAAGAGAATATAGCAGATTTTAGCCTGAACAGTTGGTACAAATAGTAAGTACAACACGTGTCATTTATTTGCCTTTACTATTTCGGACAATCAACATATTATAATTTTGTATTCATACATACTAATAAACTCAACAAAGCGACGGCGGTAAGGAAACAATCCAGTCACATCTGCTGACTGTTACGTTCGACCGCCAGTCATAAACTCCAACGAAACCCTATATTTAGAAGGCTGTTAATGTTTATCCTTGATGTTTTACAACACATTTCCCGAAATAATTCGACTGATTTCTTTCCGCCCTGTGATAAATGATCCTCTAATTCAGGTACAAGAACATCTTAACCGTTTGTCGCAATTAGTGCAGCAGAACACAGTGAAAAACATTCGCTCAGCAAAGCGCAAATATTCGTATCAAGTGTGGAAGTAGAATGAATAAAGGCAGAAAGAATGAAGGGAAACTGACAGAGCCAGAAAATGGGAAACGAAAAAAAAGAAAGAACGTAGGTAAGGGAGACAGAGAGATGATGGTGAAAGGAAATAGAAAGATTAACTAATCTGACAAAGTCAGGATATATTAAACTCGAATGACGCGGAGAAAAGTTAAGCAGACATTTCCGAATTAGTTCCACACTAGTTATCAGTACAAGCAAAACTGCTTCTTGCGCCATGAAGTCCCACACGTGACGGAGAGGCAAAGTTCCAGACATTATAGACATGGAAACTAGACAGAGGAGATAGGCAAGTTTTACGGTCCGGCCGCTTCATTGTCCGGGTAAGAGTCACAGGAATCAATCAGTACAACTCATCTGATCTGTCATACTTCCTTAGCAAAGAATTCGGATCTATTCTCCACCGAAACTAAACTGTTCTGAGACCCACACGGCCTCCCATATATTGAGAACTGGGGACTCTCTTTCGGAGGTAAATCTATCCACTAAGGTCAGTATAATGCTCTGGTCTGGAATGTGTGGGGCTTCACGGGGTTCCTTAACATTAGCAATAACCTACTGCGAATTATTACAGTTGTTATTCTTAATATAGCAAAAATTGCTTAAGCTGGTTCTGTGCTGTGCGCACGTGGACAGACTAGCCCACGTTTTAGAAGCACATGTTACGTGTTACGTCCATCTTTAAGGTTGAAATTAGAAAGATGAGTAAGTGTTTGTGTTGAGATATAGTATTATTATACAATGGGCAACACAACAAATCCGTAATAAATAAATCAATATTACTGTATTAGCAATCGTTTGTTACGTATATTTGCTACATGTTTCGGTCCAACTGGATCATCATCAGGAAAATTTCATGAAGTGTTGAATTGTATTATTAATGTGGATCCATATTAATGGTCATAAATATAAACTTCATTGCGATTCGTGTGTTTCGTTATATTTGAGTATTAGTCCTAAAATGTAAAAGTTGCAACTCAGAAGTTAAAAAGTTAAATCTGAATCAAAACTTTTGTTGACGATATATGATGGATGTCTGTGTGGAGTAGAGGGGGTTTTCTGGGAGTCTGCTTTGTGTTTAATTATTATGTACATCTGAAAATAGATTGTTGTTGTTCAAATATATACTACAATTCTGAGTCACGTATAGTCATATGTTGTGGTGTAAATATTTACTTACAAATTACGTGGCGGTTTTCCGCATATAAGTGATGTATGTTCTATATTTTTTATGCCGTGAGTGATCTGTAATGAAAGTAGATATTTTAGTGAGCTTTTTGTGTGTTATTTGTTATTTCCTGTAATTTTTTGTTTCATTTACTTACGTGTATGTTGTATCGTGTCCTGTGCCACGTCTTCTTGCTATCAGATATGTTGTTCCCATTCTGTGGTTCAGTTTGTACTTACCATTGTATAATGTCACAGTGGGTATCGGTGGGTATGTTTCATAGGTCATGTCATGTTCAAGGGAGGGTGTGGTTATAGTTTGGTAGGGGCGGTGGTGAGGGTATATTTGGAGGCGTGTTTCATTTCTTATTATGATGGATATGTTTTTATTATTAGGTACTAGAATATGGGGTTAAGTGTATCTGCAAAGGTATCATTCATTTATTATCTTGGATTATTAAATTATACGTGTGGAAACGTTCAAGTGTGCTCAGTGATTGGCCTTTCTTTTCAGCGTGTAATATTTCTATTGTTTGATTAAATGTGCTCATATGCGTCCTGTGTCGAGTTTATGTTTAGCGTATTTTTATGGCTTTGATATGTTCTTCATATCGGATTTTGAATGTACGTCCTATTTGCTTTATGTATTTGAGTGGACATTCAATGAATTTTAATATGTTTTTCCTCTTGGTTTTAGGTAGTTTCTTATTGTATTAGTAATTTTGAATGCTAGTCTTATGTTAGTGTTATTAAATAATTTTGATGTTTTCCTTATAAACACAAAGAATATAATAATAACAAAATAGCAGAATTTAAAAACATAACTTTTGAATCAACAGCCCCAATGAAAGAAGGATGGGGCTGAGCACTCACTCACCCTACTCATTCGGACCCTGAAGATGGAAGCAGCATATACCTCCAAAATGTCGACAATACTGTCCGCATTCACACGGTGCAAAGACTCAAGAGCAGAGTCAACATCAACAAAGAGCCTAAAGGCAGCAAAACAACATTTGTTAGGCTTTAAAATACATCGGCAGATTTAATGGCGTGTTAGCAGCAAAGCTTTACAGTGTCAAAGTTTTGGAAGATAAAAGCAAAAGCATTGAAATTCTGTAATTGTGACCTTACTCTGCTTGAAGTATCCCGCCCGGGGCGAGGCTGGCGACCCTTGCTTCCTCGTCTCTCCCGTACAGACGTGTTTACTTCCACACCTCCAAAATATAACTAGCAATAAAAGTTATCATTGTAATTGTTATTATATTTTTTACAGTATTCCTCATCTGTCACGGATTATGCCTCCAGGCCAGCGATTCTAAGCCTTTTGAATATTATATTCCATCTATGATTTTTCCAGAAAACCGTAGTCGTGCCGCAGTAGAATCAAGTTTGACCTTTTCCACGAGTTGTGTTTTTACAGTTATGTACGGCTTAGTGTTACATTGAGGCCTCAACATGCGCAAAACCTACCGTGACATTTCAACAGTGGAGGGTACCCCTCCGCTTGAGAAACGCTGCTCTAGCCTGCTCTAAATTAGAACTGATGCTTAACACTGAATGCCTCAAGCATCTGATAGAACATGCAGTCATTCCCGGGAAGGGAAACGAGTCCACGATGCCAGAATCTGGACGTTCGAATCCCTCAACTAATGTGAGCAGATATATTTTATTATTCACAAAATCAGATTTCGCTAATATATATAAGTTTCTAGCACGGATAATGAATACTGTATGGACGTGCTCCAGTTTCATTTCCTTAATCTTCGAAATGGCAGGGATTCCTTTCTTTGGCCTACTCATTACTTCCCGTGTAAGAAATTCGTGTTCCTTCACTACGTAACATCTTCAAGCAATTGCTTCTTTCTAGTGTAATTAATGCAAGAGGAACGATTGCTCGTTATTAAATAATATGAGTTCGTATCCCGAAGTTCAGTTCGAAACTTTTGAGTACGCATCATTTCTCGTATTCTCTGTTTTCTTGCGATATACAATATATGGTGCAGTTAGTCCAAATCTGGTTAGACCTGATTCATTAGAATATATATAATTTTAATTTTGGAATGATTTTCAGTTTGAAGAAAGATTATTTTTTTAACATTCATCACATACTTTAGTACACACAAAATAAAACTATTTTTTAAATGTTTCTTATGGATTAAATATTGGCCTTATATGTATATGGTTCCTTAAACATCAGAAAATATATAACACCACTCGTTAACTAAGAGTCGGATAATTAAACATTTACAAACTTTATGTACATACACTTAAAATTTTTATTTATTCATATGTGTTTGTGTAAGGTATATTACATATGTGTACAAGAAATATGTACATCATTTAGTAATGGTCAAATTATTTTACATACAACAAAGATAAGCCAAAATAATTTGCAAATATGTGTATATTACTTGAGCTCTGTCAGATGTTTCACAGTTCAGTGCGCATGCTGTCACCTGACCACATATTTCAGGCGGGATAATATCGTGCCATGGCAGTAAAATGATTGATTTCTGCTGGTGGTTGTGTTGGAGTAACAAGCCGCTCGGAAAAATATTTCTCTGTTCGGTCTTTGTATTCCACTGGTCTTGGGCTGTGGAACTTACATTGAAAGTACCAGACATTACGAGATGGTCTTCAAAAAATGTATAAAGTGACTCTTCATCACCTATCAGACATTTTTTTCGTTTCGAAGATGAATTTACACGGCTTCTTCAAGGCTTGAATATTGAAATGCGATACGTATTAAGATATACGGTAATATGAAATAATTCTATGACGTCTGTCTATTCAAACGTTATACCTCATCGTATGCTATCAGTTCAGCTACTAAAAATAGTTAACTGTAGTCATTACAAATGCTACGAAACTGAATTAGCTACGAGTGTCTTCAAGACGCAGTGTCCATAGAAATTAGCAAATGTTCCTTCTCATTTAAAATATGAACTCTTTCATATCCTGAAATCACGGCTGTGCAGGTCAGGACATTGAAGAGAATGAAAGAGAGAGAACAGAAGCAAAGAAATAATACAATGATGAGAAGAGAAATGTTAAAAAGAGGAAGAAGTAGGACGAGAAGTAGGAGAAAAGGGAAAGGAAGAATAGGAGGAGAAAGGGAGATGGGCGAGGTGGAGGAAAAGGATGAGTGTGAGAGGAAGAAGAGGAATAAGAAATTCTGTTAAGAAAAGACAGAAAAAGAGGACAATAATGAACAACACGAGAGGGTTTCTTCCTCATACCTTTAGTCTGAAAGGTTTAATAACTAACTCCAAGTGGGGATAAATAAATATATAACATTCCAAAGTTAAATTCGGATTTTTCCTAATATATTTATGTTTTATATTTAAAGCCAGTAGGCGGCAGTGTGAAATAATGTGGCATGAGCTGTATTAGTAATATCTTGTTATATCACTCACATGGACTTGCTTACTTTGGTTAGTAAGAAGAGATACACAGAATTCAGAAACCTAACAAAAGCACACGAAACATGAATTATGTTACTTAACACCTGCAACTGTTCAGGTTTAAGCTTTATTACTCCAGTACCTCTCGTATTTTCAGAAATAAACTGGACTGTATAAGTGTATATTCCTTCGTTTGATAACTACATATGAGAGAATAAAATTTAAGTGGAAGAAATTTTGAGTGCTGTCAATATTGACGCGACATGCGAGCCAGTGAGTACTTCAACACAACCACGGGTCTGGATGATGATGATGATGGGGCTTTATCCGGAAACGGGCTTCAGGTCGGGCGGCTCCTTGTTACAACCAGAGGCTTAGAAGACGTGAGCTGAAACACAGATCAAACGAACACGTCACAATGCGGAAAAAATTGTACAAGATTTCTCACAGAAAGCAAGATCTACTAAATCTGTATTTTATTTATAGCACACCAGACCCGACTTCTTCGCCACTTAGGGGACTCATGTTCTACACTGAGCAAACTTGTCATTACAGTTACTTATTGCGCTCAGGGCATGGATGTTTGTATTTGTCATGTGTCATCCCGCACGTGACGAAATTCTTTTATAACCTGAGGAATCTGCTATAGGCAACCCCTCCCTCTTAAACCAACGGATAAAAGCAAAACTGAATTCATCAAATTAAGATGTCTTTTTCTGAGTAATCATTAGATCTGCTGTTATGCAGTTTGACACACATGTGGATAAGGGTTCTGTTACCTGCCCACTTTTCTAATCATAATTCCCTAGTAAACACGTTTTTAATAAGTAGTTATTATAGGATTCTGACGATGGTGTATAACACACTGATATATTGGGTTTCTGGACTTTATCCATCGTCCTAGTTTTTAAGATAACAAATAAAAACACGACGTTTCGGAAACTGGATCTGTTTCCGTCCTCAGGTGAAGGAAAAGGGGAACATCTATTCTGTTGGGTCCAGTTTCCGAAACGTCGTGTTTTTGTTATCTTAAAAACTAGGACGATGGATAAAGTCCAGAAACCCAATATATCAACGTTTTTAATAAGCTTAATTTTCTCTCTAAAAGAGCGTTATTAGAAGTGGACTTTCTGTCTTCTGCTTGGCAGGGGAAGAACAGCCATAAGTTATTATTCCTTCTTGAAAATTCTGTCCATTGAGGTCAAAATGTCGAGTTCTAAAACTATTTCTCATTACACCTACGAGACTGTAGGACAATTTAGAAACGCTATACAGAATGTTAAATTGCAGATTATGCTGGACAATATAAACTGTAGAACATTGCTTCTGAGGTGGGTCTTTTTCTCATAATGGGACAGTGAAATAGTGTCTATATGCAAATACCACAAAGGTGCAGCATTTAGTGTACCTTCTCCGAAACGTCTCTAAGGATGCATCATTACAGCACACTGACGCATATTATTATATCATAATTAGGAAGTTATTAAATTATACTTTCAACATATGATGGGAACTAAATGCCATGCCGGAGTTGTTGTTGGTCATACTAGAATTTTCTTCCGCAAGTTTGCCTACTCAAGGTACGATGTACTCTAGGCCACGCCATAGCTCAAGCGGTTAGTCGCCGGCTTCCCACCGCGGCAGCCCGACTTCGATCCCGGGTCTGGTCAAATGGAATTTGTGGTGGACAAAGTGGCGCTGGGGCGGGTTTTCTCCGAGTACTTCGGTTTCCCCTGCCAATCTTCATTCCACTAAATTCTCCATCGCCATAATCACCCGGGGCAGGCTACAATAGGCTAATCAGTGGCCGCCGTGCTGAATGGACCCAGTTGGACTCCACCCTCCCCCCACCACCACTAAGAGAATTTAAAAAATGATGTACACTCAAAAGATATTTCAGACAGTGATTACGACATTTCGGTAAAGGAAAGGAAATACAAAGGGATAATTACCAACAAAAGCAGAAGTTTTCACGTACCGAAAGGTCTGATGGGGTGCTGTCCCCATAGGTAGGTCCTCTTGACAGGAGATAGGTAGCTGTCACGCAAATAGAAGGGCGACTTATACCAGCTCGTTGGCAAGGTGTAAGGGCGTAGCGAGGGGTACGCCCACCACCAAGGATCGCGGGTCAGTCGTGACAGGGGGAGAGATGTCACGGGCTCGAAGAGCTCTGACAAAGGACGTCGGGTGTATCCTCCCCGATTGTAGATAGGCACACCTGCAGAACAGTCGCTCCTTTCAATATTCAACAATTGACAACTAAATTTGAACCTAATTCATAATGTAATCAGACGGGATTTAAGCGTTTTGTTTTCCTGTTAACAATCTAAGAGCGCTGTTTAAACTCGGACACTTACACTGCATGAATATAAGAAATGTACTGATATTTGAAGTTGATACTGCGTGGAGTAGCTGCCACGGTGCATGAACTGAGATCCCGGCGCAGAGAGAAACAGATATATAGTACACTTACTCCTCTCTGAAATAACGCATACATTTGATGCATGATAAAGACGATACTTACAGCTCATTAATACTATATAGAATTATTACAAATATTTTCAACAACATATACGGTGGGTGGACAAATTAATGGAAACACTATGGAACTGAGGAATAGAATTTGTCTGTCTTGGTGGCTACATTGAAAGTACTTCAGTTTTCAACACTGAATGTTCTTCTTCCGTTTGTTTACACTCTGTAGTTCTTGTGTAAGTGCATTAGTAATTGTGTCGTGTTCATAATTTGAAATCTTGCAGAACAAGTTGTCACTTACCAGCATAGTTGTAACCAATCTTCTCTTTGGGCTCGACTGAGAGGGGTGTCAGCTCTTTCAGAGGACTGGGCGTGGTATGTCGTGCTGACAAGGGGTACTTGCTGGGGTACAGGCGGTCGATATCCGCCAGGCGTTTCAGGTGATCATCCCAAGCCTTTTTCGCATCGTAAATAGGCGCTAAATGCACATCACAATACAGTCAGCAATGAACTACTGCCATCCGTGTATGTCAGCTAACACGCAGTAGACTCTCAAACTTCTAAGCACCCGTGGGAATCACAGTAAACGTGCTGGGAAGCATCTGTGGCCTCCTGAACAGAACTAGAAGGTATAGAGTGCCTGTACTAGCTACCGACCTGCAGCGTCATTTTTGTTGTGTCTGTACTATCCTTCAACGAATAGAAGGACAATAGTCAAAGATCTGTCGATATATAGTGTGTAAGCTGAAAACATCGGCATTATATTAGGAGACTCTTGCCATTATCTCTGGTACACTGAAGCCCAACGTGTCCCTAAACGAACAGTAGAATTGCTACGGTCGACCACTGTAACCGCCACATGCTTGCCTTTTCTTCGTTTGATAATAGAATGTGTCAATGATATAGAATGCCGAAGAAGACTTTCCCCGATCATATTTTGGTTCTAAAGAGGATAAGTTTTCTTTTCTGATGTATTATTTTTTTTATTGCTAGTGGGGTGGGACTAAGTTCCTTGTACTGCGGCCACTTATGGCCTGTTGTACCAGCCTCAGATGATAGGTGAGGGTGACTGTGGAGCAATTGGTGGAATGAAGATTGGCAGGAGAAACCGAAGTACTCGGAGAAAACCTGCCCCAGCACCACTTTGCCCACCACAAATCCCACTTTACCAGACCCGGGATCGAAATCGGGCCGCCGTGGTAAGAAGCCAGCGGCTAACCGCTTGAGCTATGGCGCGGCCCGGTGAAAGGAAATAAGGGGCTCATTCAAATAGACAGTTATCATTGATTGTTCCAAATGTCATTGCTTCAAATAACGCACTCCTATATCCTGTTCCCGTATAGAGAAATGTGGTAGTACTCAGGCAGTTTATAAGCCAAAGCAATACAAAAAATAACATTAGAGAAATCACTCCATCTTTTACTGAAAGAAACAAGGTCCTCAGTAGGCATGGTGTCTTTTCATATTTTCCTCCAGAAAATTGTTGAGAATATCTGGAAGTTTGGATATGAGAATGAAGATAGGGGCTTCACCAATTGCACACAATTTACATGTAGGAATTTGGTGGATACAGACATTAATTTAATGCGAATTATGTTTTACTGTCTACTGTCCATCTACTAGAGAAACGAGGGTACTTCATAATCAACTAGTGATGTAGATCGTTAAGCAATCACTAGAAAGTTACTAGATCCCATTTTCAACATGGTTCCGGTGGGAAATACAGGCACATTTACATGGGGCCTTTCTTCCGTAGGATTGCCTGCACATGTACCCCGGCTTGCAGAGAAAAAAAGTCCAATTTTCGTCTCTTTCTGTCAGTCTCAGTCCATTTCTTGTGGAAGATGGAAACAAGATGGTAGAAACGTGTAAGTTACAGAAAAAAGACAGTGGGAGGCTGAATATACAAAGGACAGTAATATAGACAGGATGAAAAATAAGGGAACGGGAGAAAGGAAGGAGAGAAAAAAAGTCTAGTCTTCCTTGTCTTTCCGTGTTCTGTTGATGCTGTCCCAGCACAGCCATAGTGTGACCATAGAACAAAGAAGTAACATATTTACGAAGTCCAGTTCCCCGGTTCGAAGGAAACGTCGGTAATTCAAGATCGAATTAGGTCCCCCAGAATGGTTTGACATCTGACAAATCTGTGAACATTCCTTGAAATAATATTCTCTCTCGTGGAGGGCAACCACTATCGTTTCAAAGGCCAATGACACTAATCTGTTAGTCCATCCCAAGGAATATGTCGGAAAGCCATCATGATATGGCCTTGCCTTCCGTTGGCGTGAAGTGGACACATCGGCAGAAGCAAGCAACTGTTCCTCAGACATCCCAACAGACTGCAAGGGCGGTGCTGCAGGTGCATTTTGAATGTTTGATATATCAACACACTGAATTCAGGCAGAAAGATTATAAGTACGTAATCAGGACACAAAAATGTTTGAGAGTCTACTGTGTAAAGTATGGCCCAATATAAACGAGACGACTTCGTCCATGCGGTGGGGCTAACGTTTAAAATCGGACCCCCAAACCATACGTAATATTTTATGTCCTGTGGATGATTTCACATCACTTGTACCTCAAAGGAGTGTTTCCCTAATAACTGATTTTAGAATGTATAACATTTCACAATTTTAATATCTGACATTTTCATAATCCTTAAATTTCTTGCATGGTGAGAATAATGTGCTACTATCAGATTAATATTTTCGTGTGTTACATTAGTATCATTAAACATAGACTGTCCAACTACCGGCACGAGAGCCGCATACGGCCCAACAGTTATTTATATACAGCCCCTCGACGGTATTCTTCTAGTTCCCAAAATACGAATTTTTTGGGAGTACATGCTTTTGTGGAAGAAATTTTTCAACCATAAATCATATAAAAACTTAAAAAACTTCTACGTGCTGTTACCAAGATAGATGTAAAGGATGATGTCCATTCATAGTGTTCTTGCTGGAAAGAATTCAAAAGAGGTGCTTTATCTGTTATGTCAGAATTTAGTGAACTATTTTATAATTTTCGTCGTTGACATTAAAATACACTGAAATGTGTATTAATGTCTTTGAACCTCACAGACCCAATTCTTGTGCGCCATATATCTGATCACTGTAGGGCAAATGTATACGTCGGAATACAACCTTACAATAAAGCAAGCGGGAAGGTAGGCCGAAGGTACTAACACGGCCCTTCAGTATTGTGAAGTTGGACAGCCCTGATGTGTTACGAAGTAAAGCCAGTCATAGTCTAGGAGGTTAGAGTTGTGAAATTTGAATTTTATGTTGGACATTCTATGACAGAGTGAAAAAAAGAAACACCAATATTTCAGCAATCGAGTATATTTTTCAGTCTTTGCAGAATGCGTCCTTAGACCAAACACATGAACTCAGATGGTGATTACACAGGGAAGTCAAACAGACGGCTAATTTTAAATGAAAAATTTTCAGGATCGTAGTCATTCGTGTATTTAATATTGTACGAATCATTGGTTTATGTTAATCGATGGCTGAAATACGGGCTTCAGTGCAAACCATGCTAAATAGCGGATAGGGATTCATGCTCGCCATGCATGTCCAAACAAATCCACACTACCTCAGGCGCAAGCCTACTGAGGGAGGTTAGGATATGTGCTTAAAAAACAGCTCTTACCACCTGCCAATAAAATATCTTCTCAAGTATCTTCTTAATTATCTTCATCGTATGATTCGCGCTCAATTTTTGAGCTATAAAAATGACGACTCATTTTATAACTGAAGCGCGTCCTCTTCTTGTAGAGACTTTTTGAGTTCTGGAGGCTGTTGGCGGTTATAGCAGGTGGCATAAAATGTTAAAAATCTCGTTCATACAAAAACATATCATAGGATACTTAAATACACATTTCTGCCGTGTCACTTGGCGCTGCGTCATGTTTTTTTCTGCAATGTATAGACTTGGCCTGAAACGAAACATGTTTCAGCTTGCCTATCCATTGCGTCACATGCTTTTCTTTCTGGTTTAGTGCGGGATATATTCATTATTGGGATGGGATATGATAGGGTATCAAACACGTCAACCTGCCATTCCATAGCTTATGTATTAATGAACAACTAAGCATAAAGCGAGTGAAGAAAGTAAATTTCAACCTAATTATTTTTATTAAGAAGTTAAAATTATTAAACACACAATTTTATGATATGAATATGCAAGTACTATTATGCTAGGGAAAGGCCTATTTACATGGTCAACAATTCGACTTTATAAATTAAAATGTTAACGTTTTTAACGAATATTTTTAGGCTGTAATGTGTTTGTGAACGACTTTCTTTTGGGGGGGGGTTCATTTATTAAGGCATTACTGGTTATTATGCCATGCTTTAGTGGGTTTCCCGTCGGTTCCAACGATATTACAACTTGACCATGTAAAGTTGGAAGAAGTGTTTGTTTAGAGGGAAGACTCTGGTAAGTTTTGAAATTTATGTTAAAAAACTTAAAAATAAAAACCATTCTCTGTCAATTGCTGGAAGCTGCCTAGTGAAGATCAAAAACCATAACATCAGCACGTTATAGCAAAAAGATGCGGCGAAGTGTCTTCTGTGAAGTCTTCAAGCTGTTGGCAGAGAATCGTCAGTTCCACAGTTTCTTGTTGTGGCCAAAAACATTTTATTGACTTTAAAAATGTCATGACCTAAGTACATGAATTTTTAAAACGGTATCTTGTTTTTAATATTTATATATACATAAAACCAATAGACATAATTTGAAAATAAAACACTCAGCTATTAATTTTAAATATACAAGTAGAGATAGAATGTTTACAGAGAGTAATAGTTAACATTTTAATTGGTGGTGTGTGTATGTATATGCACATAATATATGACGTATATATTATGGTATATATAATCTCTTTAGTTGTTTGTGTTCAACTGTTACCGCGCAATAATTACGCTGCGGCTTGTACGTAAACCGGGCAACATTTAGAGATTCGCTTGGGCTAGTCAGTGTTCAAATTATAACGTACGAGTTTACATTTTAAGGCCCTTTATTAGGTATGCTTACGTTTTGAAGTGTGAAAATGGCTTATTAAAATATACAAAAAAATCACTAAGATTAGAAGCAAAAAGCAAGAAATATGATTATGAATATAATTATTTTAACTACTTCAAACCACTTTCAACTCTTTCAAAACAAAGCAGGACACTCGGCCGCTATTGGAACGAGAGTCGGTTGTACAGCACCTGAACAATCTATGTCCCACCCCAATCAACCCCTTCATCCTTTCTTTGTAATACTGGCGATGTTTCCTGATGTTCCCCCCTCCCCACGATTGGAATGGGCACCCCGCGGGTCGGCTCAGTACGTACCCGGCCTGTAGGGCGCCGGGTAGAGATTCCGTGGCGAGTAGCCGTAGATCTCGCGGGATACAGGCAGGTAGCGGTAACCGGGCACTGAGATGCGGTCCACGGCGTGGATGGGCTCGTCATATATGGACTTGTTATAGGGCCAGCCACTGGAGAGCTCGGGGAAATCAGCCAGAAGGGGTCGGAAGACGCCGCGGGGGCGGGGCGTGACGCGGTCAGGGGCTCGCATGTCGTCCGTGCCTGCAACACAAGTCGTCTTCCGTCAGCTGCCAGAAACAAACAAAACAACAAAACAAACTGCATAGTTTCAGTCCGCAAGCGAACTATACCGTTCGGGCGACCGCCGCTTGTCAGCGAAGTTAGTACCAACTTTTGCGGATATAGGATGTCGCGTGGTAGGCGCAACAAATCCCCACGGCCGTTAATTTCGGTTTTCTAGACCGGAGGCGCTATTTCCTTGAAATAGCTCCTCAATTATCCTCACGAGGCTAAGTGGACCCCGTTCCAGACTCACTACTTCTCAGAAAATCTGGTAGCGCCGGGAATCGAACCCGTACCTCTGGATCTGTGGCCAGGAACTCTGGCCAGTAGACCACACAGGCGGTCAGCTGCCAGCAACAGAAGCTTAAATAGTTTTTGAACATGCCACTACAACGGGACTACGGGATGGTAACATCTTTTATGGTAGCAGCTTTGCTTCACCATCCGTCACTGATGATCCTCTCTCTTCACCTAGTTTAATTTCTCCTTTTCATTCGTCCCTTTTATTTCTTTTCTATCTTATCTACTATATACCTTCCACCCATGTCCGAGCAGCCGTTGACTCCATAACTATAAAATCAAGAACAAATCAATTCAAACAATTTATACATTTTGCACACACATACTACAACTGTAGGGTTTTTAAACTGTCTTCCAGATCGCAAAATTCTGTTTGAAAAAGTAACACTAATTGTAACGTATTTAGGATGATTTGTATGTATAATTTGATTATTTCTCAAACATTCATTAAAATCTACTTCATTGTCCCCATTCTCTTATTATCACGGCATTTTATTCTCTATTTTGATTTTACCTGGTAATCTGGTACGTTTGTCAGAGTGTGGCCTCTGAATTACTGAATACATTAAATATACATACATACACAATGATGCTGAGTGTGATTATGGTACCACATTTCACTGATATAGCACTCCACGCACTGGCTGAAGCATTACTTATTCCGCCGGTAGATGGATCTGCCAAGGGCAATCTTTCTATCGTCAGATGTCGTCAATTTAATAAAAAATGGATATTTGAAACCCCACTTAAACCCGTATTTCATATTCTTTCCAGTACTGAATGTTAATATTACATTGTGAACAAGTGAAATGTAACCCGTATTGAACATTGTCATCAAATAGACTTAACTTTTCTTTTTTTAACTTTGAACCAAATGGTAAGCCGTAGGCCTACAAGAAGTGCCAATATTACGTGTGTACGTGCAGTTTTAAACCGGAGGTAACAGTCACTTCGTTATTAAAACAAATAATGTCGTTGCATTGGAGCCCTTTAATTACTCTTTGTTATCACTTCAGCGAAGTCTATAAATCCACTGTTTTAAAGCAAATTGAAAATAACTTTTCGAAAGCTGTGTTAGTAATGATTACGAAGATGGCTGACATGTCGAAATGCCCCTACTGGTGAAATTAAATCGTATGTTTTGATAAATGTAACGTTCAATTACAACAACCATGAATATATTTAATTCATCATTACTTCAGTAAAATTTATGTCTCATTATTATGTTTATTAAGATATAAATATGCATTGGACATAATAAGGAATTCAGTATTTAAAAAGAATTTGATAGCATTGTGAATTAATGTGACATCTTTATGGAAATTCGTTATCACGAGAAGTTTAGAACGTGTAAACTCTGATACTAACGGTAAAATATTTTCAGATGTCCAAACTTATTGTAATCTTTCTTCATGAACAGAATATATGATTATATAAGCATCGACATTATCATCATCATCATCATCATCATCATCATCATCATCGTCGTCGTCGTCGTCGTATAAACTGTAAGGTTTAGGCCTCTTGACCTGTTCCGATCTTCGGGTTAGACGAACTGATTCTTCCACCTCTTCTAGCTTTAGGCCGATAAACAAACGATTTCCGAGGAATTCGCCGAGTTAGCATTCTTAAAATATTGTAACAAATTTGATCAACGGTCCAACACGCAACAATAGAGGAAGCTGTGTTTTCTATGTCGTCCGCGCCGAGCAACGGTGGAACATCGATGTTATGCAACCCGCTTCTAGGCAACGACTCAGTACTCACTTCCGCGTATCAAACCGTACCATGAAATCGGTGATGTCATCAACAATAGAGACGGTGTTTGCCGTGGCGTCCGTGCAGAGGAGTTGCCTTGAAGACAATCGGCGCTACGAGTCAGTCAGTTCTCGGTAGGAGATAACCACGGGAAGTTCGCAATTGAAGAAGAATTAGAAGTCGGCCTGTGTAGACTTAACGCGTGATCAGTGTGACATTACATTCACTACAGTTACAGTAATCTTGAGAGTGTAAGAACTAACTGTAATTATGACTAGTGAAGACCCAAAAAACCAATTCACCAATCCAAACCCGTGTTTTAATACTGATACATGTGAAAATATATTCCAAGCATTCGAACATCTTCCGGCATATTACGAATATATGAGGGCAGTAACTGCCTCCGTTCTTTTACAGCATTGATTTTTCGGTGTAGTTTCTTCCTTTTATTCTGCCTTTACACAGCTATAACCACATGCAAAATTTAAGTTTCACTTTTAGTTTCCTTCCACGAGTGATGGCCAGTTTCAATGCGCATTCAAGGCATCATTTATTTTTCTGCCCTGTCCTCTAATCGTTTTTACAGTTAATCAAACCATAAAACATTAGACTCAACTTCCCTGCCGAGAGAGCAGAAACCCTGCATCGTATTAGAGCGTTTCCGGATTTTCATCTCGTCCAGGAGACTGATCTGAATCTTCTTGAGGTCTTCCTCATTCCCACAAAGTACAGAGGTACCGATATATAACCCAGCTTCGTTGACACTTACAAACGCGAGTTGGCCAGCACGTCAGCCAAAGTTCGGTGAGGCAGGGTAAGGTACACAAGCGATGGCGCGTATAGAAAGAACACAGTCCTTCCTTTGCTCTTTCTATCATTCGTCTCCCCTTCCCCTCTTCCTGTGATGTAGCTCTGGGTCAGAGATGTTCTGTACCGAGTACAAATGCTGGTAGGTTACCTCAAATTAGGCCACAACCACTTCCTTCCACATCCCTTAAAATCCATTTTTAATTAAGCAATTTCTGAGAGCTATATGCGACCCAGTCTGAGATACTGACAGCGTCTTCGAATAAACCATAAATAAATGAATCAGTACATAATACCATGGTTACATTTTGGTAATTCCTACAAAAATTAAAGTTTAAATACAAGTTACGAACCCTTGAGAGCCCTCACGTAGGACTGCCAAAATTTGGCCTTCCTCTGTATCGGCTCATTCCTGCCTATGATGTCCAAATGGTTCTTGAGCATCATCTTGATAGTCTGCGGTACAGAAACTCTCGCTCAAACGGATGCTGAGTATCAGAAACTCTGCAACGAAAGAAAGTGTCTTGTTACCAGATTTTCATACAATAATCTTACCATAACTTCATACAGTAATATCTCGTTACCACGTATTCATAAAGTAATACCCTCTTACCACATCTTCATACAGTAATATATTGTTACCATATCTTCATACAGTAATATCTTGTTACCATATCGTCATACAGTAATATCTTCTTACCACATCTTCAGACAGTAATATCTTGTTACCACTTCTTCATACAGTAATTACAATACTTTCTTAAACTATATTTAAATTTTTCATAAATGCTTTGGATTTAAATTGGCAGCGTTATGAATATAAAATTACTTTACTGAGCAGTACAAAATTATTGGGAACGTCAGGATTAACATTAATCATGCAAAAATTATTATTTGAGGAATAAAAATTCATGATGACAATTTCAGTTTCACATATTAGTATTAAAATTAAGTACATTTTAAATATGACATTCTATTCTATCTTGAAGATGGAGGCAGCATATTCTTCCTAAACGCCGAAAAAGCTGTACCCGACTACACGGTATTACATATCATAATACAATAATCTGCACAGTCCCCTCCGGGAAAACTTCCAAATCTCGGATATGACAACGTTATGATAATTCAGATATAAAGTAAAATGTTCCTGGTGCCTTAATTGGCTTTCTTCGGTGTATTTATATATAGAAACGTCAGAGAATTTTGAGCTGAATGTTTCTATATGTCACAGAGAGACGGAGATTCATGTATAATTGTTCTCTCCAGCTAAACATTAGAGTTCTGTCTACCGGAATTGTGATACTTATATTTCTTTCGTAAGTAACATATAGCAAGAGAAGCCTAAACTTTGTGACGAAGGTGTTGCTAACCTGACATATTTTGGACAATTTCTATCATCTCCTTTCTTATAATAAACATATGGTTTGAGAAGCTGGTTCTGCTTCCGACATGAGATAAAATACAAAATTTGTTGTTGTGGACATATTACATGGAGCTGATCTCTATTTCCTGGGGGAGAGATGAGCTCCATCTGGCGGGCCCAATAACAAGGTTCATATTTCTGTTTCATGATGGAAGCAGGACGAAATTCCGAAGCTCTGATATTATTTAACATAAATGTGAACATTGAAAATATTCAATATATGCGTCAGTGAACATATCTGCTCTCTAGGTGGATCTGAGTTCATTTCTGTATCGCAATACATAGTTTTGAAACGTGACATGCGACACTGAAGCTTGATGCCTTTTAGAGGTCAGTAGGTGAGAAATTAAGATATTTACGAACTTGGCAGGTGGAATACTTACTTGGCGACATTCTCCGAGTTCCAACCCGGGCCAGATACAAATAGAAGCTCTAGTATAGTCTTCTTGTTGTTGTGGAAAACTAAATATTCTTTCTGATATATTCTACACTTACTGTATACAAATGTAACATACAGAAGCATAAAATATATTCTGAAAACACTTTAATAACAATTTTATGGGAGTGGTCTTGTACGGCAGTCGGCAATTGTGGCGCCGTGTGACAACGGAAATTATTTTATAAGAAGTTCCCACCCAAGATATCGACTGAAGCAAATATAAAACCATAGATTGTATGGTTTATCCTTCAATTGGAAGTATTACAGCTTACGTTCTTATCTGTTAAGAATATTTAAACGAAAAAAAATTGAATTGTTTTTAGTTACAATTGGTTTACTTTTCTGCCACTTAAATTCTTATATCGAGTGGCAGACACTTCACGTGTTACAGCAGAAACTATTGACTTGAGTGAAATTATTATGTCGATTAAGGTATCTTTTTTTTTCTTGGCACTACAGTCCCAGTGGGCCTAGGCCTACCTCCATGAACTTCTCCGTTCACTTCGGTTTTTCTAGATCTTACACATTCGGTAGGACTCCTTGGGCGGGTGATCAGCTCGTCGCAAGGCCTCTACCTGTGATTAAGGTATCTTACTGGACGAAAATATAAATCCCAGAAGTACAAAATACAAGACTTCTGTTGGACACTGATACGGCGTAGAAGTAATGGCTAGGAAAGCTACATATGCGCCCGCACACAGCACAAAACAACAATATGTACGTATTCGTATAACAACTCAGGTGAATGAATGAGAGTGGCTGAAATGGAGTTAATTTCCCAGAGGATTACACGAGTTAGCTGACTGAATGGCCCTCAAGAAATTATGTACTGTCCCTATCTGGAACCTGTCCATAAACTAAACTGACCCTATGGAGCTGAGTCCTTGAGGAGCCGCCAGGTGTGAACCTGCTTAAGAATTTACCAGCATTTTATGGAACCGGAAGGTTAATTACCGTGTTCACAAGATCCCTCAACTGGTCCCTACCCCGAGCAAAATCAATCTAGTACGTCTTAGTTTTCATAATAGTCTCTTTCCTTCTGGATTTCCCGCCAATATCATATATGCATTCTTCTCCAATTTCGTGTTAAATCCCCTTTCCATCTGATCCTCCTTGACCTCATCATTCCAATATTTGGCGAAAAGTACAAGTTATGAAGTTCTTCATTGTGCAGTTCCTTCCAACCTCCTGTCACTTCGCCCCACTTCGGCCAAAATACTCTCCTTAGCACCCTCTTCTCAAACGTCATCAGTCTATGTCTCTCCCTTAATCTCATAGACAAAGTTTTACTCCCATACAGAACCACGCACAAAATTATAGTTTTGTATATTCCAAATTCCAGATTTTTTAACTTTGCTACATTTTCAAAGGATCTGTTAGCAATCTTTATGTCATGATTTTTCTCTGCATTCTGGTGACGAGACAGCAAAGACACTTAGTTTTCTCTATGTTTACTTATATACCACGTCAGTTACGTGGTAATTAAGGCTTCTGTGTTTTTCTTTGTGGTATCTACGTTATCACCCAGTAGATTCACATCATCGGCATAGACCAGCAGCTCGTGTGTCCCATTTAATTTCAGTCCCACCTGGTTTCCCTGGACCCTCCTAATTGCATATTCTAAAGCAAAGTTAAAAACAGTGGCAATAAAGCATCACCTTGTTTTATACCAATCTGGATAGTAAATTTGTCAGATAAATGTTTACCTATGCGGACTTAACTATAAGGTTCGTTTAAACACGTTTTAATCAGCCTAACTAGTTTCTTGGTTGCTCAAAACTCTATGAGAATACTGTACAATACTTCTCCGTTAATTGAATCACAGGCTTTCTTGAAGTCTACGAATAGCCGATGCACTGTCTCATTGTACTCCACTCTTTTTCTAGTATCTGATGAATGCAAAAGATCTGAACACCAGTTGATCTATTACGTCGAAACCCACACTGATGATTTCCAGTAATTGCATCTGTTTATGAACTTTACTCTGAGAGAAGGATATTCGATAAAATGTTGTATGAAGTTAATAGAAGTGATATCCCATGATAATTATTATATACAATTTTATCGCCCTTCTTGTGAATCGGCACAATAAGAGACTCCTTCAATAACTGGGAGAAGTAATTTTTCCACCTATTTAAAATGTTGTAGGAATCTGCAAGCAGATCACCATTCTCATCCTTCACTTAGTTACTGCTAGGTTGGTAACCCTCTTAAAGTCATTTATTCCTCTATAAAGGTTTCTAATGTTATTGTTCTTACTGTTCATTGCAAACTCATCAATTTTGTCTTTCAGATATTCCCTCTTTTTATCCCTGAAATGCCTCCTGGTTCCGCATCTTATATTGTTCAGATTATCCCCATTTATTTCGCTTGTATCCTGTAACCACTGCAATTTGACTTGTTTCCTTTATCTAATGGTTTCGAATATCCTTTGGCGAACCATGACATATGCTTCTTCGTTCATAATATCCTAGACTCTGGCTGAAATTTTGACGCTCTCCGTGATAGTTTCCCAAGCTCCGTTAATAATGTGACATGTTGACCCACTGCCAAATAAGAGCAGTGAAGAAAACAGGCTACAGTATAACAGCCGTTGCTAGGGTACAGCTCTGTGGACACTTTGTTTCCCCGACAACGAGAGAACAAGCAAAAACGGTAGAAATATTTTCTGTTCGGTCCGAACCGGGACTATATAACGAGGACCAGTAGTTCAGTTGTTGATCAAGTTGAAAATTGCTGTTGTGTGAAGTGACAAGCTGATAGCTGAGACTATAGACAGTTAAGAAACCCAGAGGAAGGGGAACGTCCGGCGTTGGAAGCCGCTACTAAGTAACGGCTAATGGAGATTGAGAAGACTTTATGTGTCCTGTACTTACAGTGGTCTTTGGAGTGTGTAACTCAGTAAAACTATCATTGTTATTTGCAGTTACAAGTTGTTTTAAGAGCTCAATAAATCCGATTACCAATCCAAACCCCGTCTATCGTCATCAATCACGTGACAATACCCAAATCATCGTCTATCTTTTCAAGTACTGCAAATCTATTTGAGATTTCAACTCTATACTGTTCTTTACATTCTATCTCGTTTAATTTCTTGAGATTGAACCTTTCCATATGAACTCTGTGCGTTGTTTGTTTACTAACTGCTAATCTCTCCCTAACTTTTGTCACCATCACAGTCACGTCCACAGACTTTTATCCTCTGTTGGGGCATGGAGATTGATAGCAACGTTATGACACCAGCGACCTTCTAGTACACGTATTATGGTCGACATTTTATTTCTAACAAATTCTACCATGTAAAGAGTTTACGCGATTCTCTTATGTACAAACAGACCTGTACCTGATTCATGGTTCTCAAGCCCCTCCCCATAGAAAAATGTATATTTGCCTGCTGATTCGGTGCCACCCTTCCCATCTGACCTCCTGTACTCCCACTAATCCAACTTATATTTTGATGTTTCTTTTACAACTGTCATGAGCACACCTGCTCTGTACAGACTTCTTAATTCCACGTGCCAAATCTCACGTCCATTTTCCTTAGCTTGGGACGTTTATCCAAAGGATCCGTCCAAGTTCGAGACCTTTTGTGGCATTTCAAAATAAGCTTATATTTTAAGAAGGGTGTCTGCCACATGCCAA